AAAATTTGATGTACCTATACAATGCATTTGCACGTGTTCTTTTTTAACTCAGTCAATACATTTATTTATTTACAAGTGTCTTAACCAATGACTAAACAACCAATTAAAACCACTGTTAAAACAAGGTAAAAACATTTATTTGATAGCAGTTAATTCATCATCAAGCAATAACGACCGACTTAAAAGATGTTTTTAAGACTTTGAAGCCAATTTTATGGTCAGCATTCATCATTTTTACACATCGGTCTTCACCGCAGCTGATAACCAACGGTAAACAATGGCATGTTAATTAGATATACAACCTGATAAGTAATAAAAAAAAACCCTTTCGTATGGTGGCTTATTTGTGCCATGTCGTATTTTCTCTCCGCAGAGCGCCAGGTGATATAACGTTACACGACATGGGAACCACCACGTGAAGCGAAAATACGACATGGTACAAATCAGCCAACATAGTTTTGTTACATGTATAAAGAAAAAAAAATTGCGACTAACAAAATTAAAAAGGCAATCTTTAAAGAGAAACAACCGAACAACACATATAACAGAGTTGTTATGTAATCTATTGCTTTTAGAGCATCCAAACTTAAAACTTCCAAGTACTTTTTAAAGTCAATGAAAAAAATATGTTAATAAATCATACATGTTGCATAATTGATAAATAAAAGAAAAGCGAATATTATACATTTTTATGTTTGAAGTGAAGTAATTTCTATCCTTTAGCACAGTTAAGCTAACGCATTTTAGCTTTTAGTCGGTTGGTTGGTTGGTTTGTTGGTTATATAAGTAAGCAGTAAACCACAGTTAACCGTGGAGATTTACATGGTTTAGATGCTCTTTAGTGAAAAATTCGTTTCACATTACAATAAAAGCAATGATGATACTTATGATATTGTTGAAATTGTTGATGCTAATGACGCTGATTATGTTGTTGATGATTTTATTTAAAATGATTATGAAGGTGATGATAATGATGATGATGTAATTGTTGTTGTTGATGATTACGATGATGATGATGACGATGATAATAATGATGATAAGGATAATCATGAAAATTCATGTTGATGAAAGAGATGATCATGAGGAAAATTCATTATCATGATAATGAGTAAGAAGATGATGATAATGATGAAGTTGTTGTTGTTGATAATGGTGATAATGATTATGAAAAAACGAAGATGATAATCATGCTGATGATGAGGATGGTTATTTTGATGAGTAAGAAGATGATGATGATAATTAGGATGATCATGAGGACGACGATGAAGAAGATGATCATGATGAGGCTAATAATAAATGTAAGAAGAAAAAAATAGTTATTTGACATATTGCTAGGGAAATTTTACATATCTACTTCTTTACAATCTAATCTTTTAGGACATTTATAAACCCATAGTTTAAATCAAAGCTTAAATGAATAAGTGTTATAGACTGAAACTTATGACAAACAAAATGTTTTTCAAAATGAAAAAACTTTGAATTTTTCACCGATATCTATTTCAATGGAATGTTATAGTGAAAATTAATTATTAATATGAACTCAGAATTTATATGACAAAATAAAAGTGGTAGCTTTGGCATCATTTTAAAAATAGCTTTTAAATATTTTTTATTATCTTATAAAAGGCTTTAACTATTTAACAGAATTACAATTTCAATTTCATAGAGGGTTTAAAATATTTAGTTAGTTTTCAGAGGTCTTAATAGTTTGGAGTCGGAAAGGGTTTCATAGATTCCATGCACATATAGCTAAATAACTAAAGTTACAGAAGTAAACGATGCCTTATATAAGACTTGCTATTAAAATATAAGATGACATGAAACACGGTGATAGGGCGATTACCACAACTTTTCCGCGCAACGTCAAAATATCATCCTTCTGACCGAGACACCGTATATTTCTGGACAAAATATAAATGGCGGGATGAACAAATTCCAAGTAATAGCTTACAAAATACAAATTAAATGGCACATTCGATGAAAAAAGAAAAAAATGATGATTTTATCTTGTTTTGAGCAAATAATCTGCTGTTTTCGTCTCGTTTACAGGCTTGCTGTTCATTTTGTACCACAGAAATATACGGTGTCTCGGACAGAAGTAAGATATTTTGACGTTGCGCGGAAAAGTTGTAGTAAACGCCCTTTCGTGTAAATAGGAAAAATACATGAATAGAAAATATGTTTTTTTATTAGTTGATATCTTTGATATATTTATACTAGTAGGTAAGACAAATAACATGAATACACAGATATACTGTGTTATCATTGTTTAGATATATATCTGACTAAAGGAAATATTGACTTTATACGACATTTACTGCACTGTTTTCTCTTAATTGAGAAATAATACTGATCATTCCTTGTAAAAAATAAATAGTTAAACCAACGATGCCTCTTAAAATACAAGTAAGACACAATTTCCAAGAACTTAACAAGAGCAAAGTTTGACTAAGGTTAATGGAAACCTTAAGAAACACACCAAACGGCAAAAATTGAAAATGTTGAGGACTTGGTTTATTTCATGGACGACAGTCGAAAATGAAAGCTACCGTCAATGGCCCCTAGCAATGGCGTAAGCAGACTATTGAGATGAAAAAAGGAGTTTTGAATTCATTATCATCTGTAGATAAGACCATACGGCGGTAATCATGTAAGCTTCCTTTCACTGACAAAATACGGTCCTATATCAAGAACTGCAGTATTCTTGGTATACAGGCGAAAGACATATTTTATGAAATATCTCGTGTTTATTAGTAAATGAACTTTCATTTTGATCTGTCACACCGTTGTGTCAAAAAACTCTAAGTGTTGTGGATTCAGTAAAAGATGTACCTTATGCACGCCGTCCGAAAACTGCAACTTTGCTAAAAATGATTAAAAATGTAAAGGATTTGATTGCTACTGAAGCAAGATTTGCAACTAGGTATATAGCTAAATACGTAAGTGTCTCTGTAGGAGCCGCTCATGCATGCAATTCTCAGATATGATTTAAAAATGAGAAGGATAAGTGCCAAATAGATATCAAATCATCTTACAAAACAGCAAAAACTTGCTCGGGTAAGAATCTCCAAACAATTGTTGATACAGTTCCTTACATATAACAATCGATCTTTCGCCAATGTCATCACTAGCGATGAGACGTGGGTTCACTTTAATGAGCCCAAGCGAAAGATACATAACAAAATGTGGGCATCCAAAAGAAGTAAAAGACATTGTAAAGCAAAACTCATCATGAGAGTCAAAAAATTCATGTAAGTAATTTTCTCTAACAACCAAGATCCTACTATTGAAATTGTCATACCAGAGGTTAAATCTGCAAATGCCAAGTTTTACAAAGGCAAAGTCCTTCATAAATAAAAGGAATGTTTAAAGACCGCCCATCAGAAACATCTCTCCGTGGTGTTAGGTTGTTGCATGACAATGCTTCGTCACATAAAAAGCCCATTGTACGTGAATATCTGAAACAGCAAAAGATTGTTGACCATACCCTTTGTGACTTATTTCTATTACCGAGGCTCAAAAAAACCATCTTGCCGGAAGAAAAGACCAAACACGAAAAATCTCGGTTCTGCTATTTTCCATTGTCTGAAAAGTATACATCGAAAAGATTAAGAAAACGCATTTAAAAATTGGATTAAAAGACTAAAACTTTGTACATCCCGTGGTGGTGAGTATTTTGAAGGATTGAGATAATTATTTTGGCACTACATTTGTATTTGTTAAGCTCTTATGAAAAATCACATAGTTGCATTCATATGTGAACACGCTTTTAAAGTATTAACGGATATGAAAACCTGGAAACAAAGTGATCCCTCGGAAGCATTAATCACAACAAAATTACATAAGAATTGAAGAATGTTTCCGTATAAATGGATCTGGGCACATAAAACCATTTTCTATTAAAGGTGTATATAGAAATTCTATTTGATCCTGTGGAAGCTTTCATCTCCAAAAGCAAAGTGCCATCCTTAAAAATAAATTTGATAATCTCTTCTATGTGTGCTTCAGCGGGATATTGCACAACCGATGTGCTTCAAATTGACATATATCCGATGCAACCTTGGGTATAAAAGGAAGTCGCCTACGAATACCGATGGTAAGAAGCACATACACATTTTCCGTCTTTCTCTGCACAATCAAGCTATGACAAGTTTGACATTTGAGAAACCTGAGCGTTGAAGCGTGGGGGCCGGAGTATAATTAATTGGTCTTGTGGAAATATGTCTTGAAGAAAGCATTGTAGCAACTAATATTGGTGCATCCACCTCTATGCAAAAGCGCGGTTTTTTACTTTTTAAGGACGTAGGAATTATTTGGAGTAATTTATTTGATGACACTTTCTATTAGATATAATAATAGTGATAGCATTTAAAACATGCATGTATGTTCTCTTTGAATATCTTTTTATTATCATTTTACGATATCGTTAATTTTTAACCTTTAGCTGTAATCATACAGGTTTTATTTTATCACAAAACATTTTTATGACACACGACGTAACAAAATAATTGCTGTTAAATTCATATGAATAGTGCTATTCATATACGGTAATCAATTACGGAAATTTAATTTGAGGAGATATATGACGAAGCAAGTTGTCAACGTAATATTTCTTTTTGACGGATCCAAAACATTTTAAACAAATATCTTTTTAGGGTTATAATTGCTTAAAAGGTGCAATTATGTTATAACTGTTATTATCAATTTGTTCCGAAGGTAGAGTCTTTCACGTCACTTCATTGTTTGATATACTAGACAGTGCATTTTGTGCAAAATGGGTTTTCCAACACTAAAAGGTACTTTTCAGCCTTTGATAAGGAAACAAATCACAAGGTAATCATTATATAATTTATTTATAGTAATTTATTCCTTTTAGTTCAGAAAGTTCACTATGACCATCTAATTACAAAGTTTGGAAAACATGATTTATCATACGCATCAAATAAAACTGTCCACGTGCTTCAAGTTTTAGAAGTTGAAAAGCCAATACATCTGTGTCACTTAATTTTACATAATCTTTTATTAATGAGCCATCCATCCATTTTTTTCTACCTATAAAAAGGCCACAGAATCTCCTTGTCTCCAGATGTAGAAAAGAAATCTCAGCCACAAGTGTGAGTACAATTTTTATTGTTGACTTTTTGGATTTTGTATTGATTCCTTTTTTGTATCAAGATGAAAATCTTGAGTATTTAGATTGGAACAATGCCATTTCTAACTTTCCGATTACATTTATCGCACAATAAAGTCCAATTATTAAATTGGGACTATTTTTATTCTCTTTTTCTCATGTATGCCGTATAAATATGCACAAAATTACAGTTTTTGTTAAAGCATTAGAGGTATGACTACAAGTATAACAGCAATGTGACAATACAGGTTGTTGTTTTAACTTTTTACTATATTTCGAGCATATTAGTTTGATGATTTCGATGAAAAATTACGTATTTGATATTCAATTTTCATTTAACGATACAAATTATAAGCAGTTACATTTTGTTTGTTCGGCAATATACCTCAAGAGGACGAGCCCCGGATTTATAATCCAACGATTGGTTGTTAGTTCCTCAGGCGAAGCGAAATTTTTTCGTTACAAGTGATCTCGAACATTGAGTCTTTTAGATTTTTTTTCTCTCACCATTGATTCCAGGATCATGCTAAATTAGTTGTAGTCGGTCACAGTGAAATTGGTAACCACTTACATGGACCGACCCTCGAGTAACGCCCAAAATATGTTAAAAGTGGCGTAAAAAACCCCAAACAAACAGTTCAGTCTGGTCATGAACTCAAGTATCATAACATTATAACACATAAAGGTAGTTGATAGTTCATAATAGTTGTAGGAATCAGAAACATGGAAGAATTCTTCTCGTCTCTCCTTTTCTCTCTTCTCTTTTCTTCACTTCTCTTCCATTGTTTCCTCTTCTCTTCACTCTTCTATTTCATCCTCTCTTTTTTCTTCTCATTTTTGTTGTTCTCTACTTTTTATTCTCCTTTTTTCCTTTCTGTTCTGTTCTCTTCTCTTTTCTACTTTTCTATTTTCCTTCTTTTGTTTCTGTTGTCGTTTGTTGTCTTCTCTTCTCTTTTCTGTTATTTCTTATTACATGTTCCTGTCTTTGTCTTTTCTTCTCTTTCCTTTATATACTTTTTCCTCTTCTTTTTTTCCTCACTACATTGAAAAATAACGATATTCAAATAAAAAATCAGAGTAATAAATTGCATAAAAGACATAAATATTTTTTTTTATTTTCAGTAATCATGAAAACCCTTATTGTACTTGCAATCTTGATCGGGGCTTGTACCGCCTGGAACTGGAAAAACCGGTGCTGGGGTAAAAATTGCAAATACGGAGGTGGATATGGTTATGGCGGTGGATATGGCGGTGGTTACGGAGGTTATGGGGGCGGAATAGTAGTAGGATTTCGTGGCGGCTACGGGGGCGGATATGGCGGTGGATACGGCGGTGGTTATGGTAGATGGGGAAAGGGCTACCCATGCTATGGTAAAAACTGCGGATATTATGGCGGTGGATATGGCGGCGGATACATTGGCGGCTATGGTGGCGGTTACGGTGGCGGTTACGGCGGCGGATACGGCGGCGGATATGGTGGCGGATATGGCGGCGGATATGGTGGCGGATATGGCGGCGGATACGGTGGCTATGGAAGATGGGGAAAAGGAAGACCCTGCTGGGGTAAAAAGTGTGGATACGGTGGTGGTTATGGTGGTGGATACGGAGGAGGATATGGAGGCGGATATGGAGGTGGATACAGATGGGGAAAAGGTTACCCATGTTGGGGCAAAAACTGCGGATATAGAGGCGGCTACGGCGGCGGATATGGTTATCGATGTAAGTTTCTATCGTTTACAAAGTTAACAATCCTCTATTGTTTTATCACCATAATATGGTGTTAGAGTTTATGTCAATGAACCAAGTGAATCCAAATTAGTCCTTAAATATAGTTCAAAATTTTACTTAATTATCAGTTCTCTTCTTATAAGCATGTTTAAAATGGAAATACATGTAGATATAACATTTCTTGCTTTTTGAAATACTAATGCTATGGTTTATCGTTGAAAAGTTTTATATTTTATCATTTATATTTCACTGCGAACAAAGCTGTCTATTTCCTTACTAAAATACATATTTTTCTGAATGTTGTAATTTCTTGCGTCTAACCGCTCAATTTTGCTTTGTGATTACATGTGAACAAGAAATATCTAGAATATGAAATATTTTGCTGTTTTTTTTTACAGATGGAAAGAAATACTAAACTGATCTCAAAATATTTGACTTCGGATGGTGTTTCCAAAGGACTGGATCGACTGACAAAAGTTACCTGTTGCATATTTGTTTTATATATCCTTGTAATAAAACGTATTTGCATTCACCTTCTATATTTTTGTCCTTTTAACCCTTGCCTTATTGGCGAATGTCTATAATATTATATTTGGCATTTTGAATGCTACTCAACTTTTTACCTGCTTGAAACAAAGAGATTAGTCTTTGTCATCGGTGTAGCGCCAGGCCAGCCTGCACATCCAAAGAATTTGAAATGATGGCAGCATTAGTTTTGTATTTTGATGATATCCCTCAGACTCGATATGGACTGTTCCAATTTTACTAAAATTCAGATCTACTTATTTCTTTTATGTATATCTGATGACGACCGTACATGTTTCGCCTTCTTTATAATTCGGATTTCCCGAGAAAGCTTTTTTTAGCCATTCAATCAAACCGATTCTTACAGATATACATTAGAAGAAGTATCAAAATACCGTTAACGGTGGAAGTTAAACAAATTGTTGATGTTCTTAAGAAAAAAATGTTTGAAGTATTTTTTAACAAATTAACTTTGACTAGAGTCAATTTTTAATGGGCAATATTGTTTTGCCACTTTACCTGTCGGCTATGTGGAAAACGCCATGTTTGTTCTCGAAATCGTGAAAATTGGTTATCCCAGGGTTAAAATGAGAAACCGCATCGCTTTCTAAAGTATAAAGGCTTACCGTTGGTTGGCTTTGTGAAAGGTCACCAGAAATGACGTCGTATTTGGTAACGGTCAGATCTAAAAGCTGCGAGTTTTTTTAGAGCTGATCTTAATCAGATTGGGAGCGTTCCGAATTAAAAAAAAGGAGCAAAACCATTACACAAAATTTGGCATGTACGAGTATGCAAGACCGCAATTAACCACTGTCGTAAATCCAAGGGCTGGGTGAAAACAAAACAAGCCCGAAACATATTTAGATCTGCACTTTTAAGTGACCTCATAAGAATGTCAAGGAGAATATGTCCTCAATATTAATTCATCTCCCTCGTATATTGTAATTAAGAGGTTTCGAGTACGGTTTCGAATCGGTTACCGAATATGACAACAGTATTTGTTAGTTACAAGAAGCGGACGTGAATATGGTTCATGTAATTGTTTTTAAAATGTAGCAGTTAGAAAAATATGAACAATTATCTAAACATCGGATTTCATTTTGTCATTTTACCCATATTGGAAACGAAACAGAAGTTGAAACAGTTAAAGCGCGTCAACATATTTAGGTTCATGTTTTGAGTCATCAATTGGAAAAGGCTTGTGCCAACGTTACGTATAAAGGATAAACAATAGTCATTAGGTCCAGTCAATTTAAAGCCACATGCCTCCAGGGAAGCCAAAATATTTCAAGAAAATAAAACTAGAGAAAAATGTACTAATATTCTTAGAAAAGTAAAAGTATTTAAAGATTCTAGTAATAATTTACTATTATGTGAGTATATTTCTGAAATTCCTTTTACATGTACGTACCCTAGCTGATCTGTGAAAGAAATTCAAATTTGATATGTTTAGGCTTTGCATGGGTCTTGTTTTCAGATATTTGATAAAAGTATACAACGCTTAAAACAAGTTTTCCACTTTTCTAGAAAATATATTCCCATTGTCAGTTTCAGATCTAATTATTTGATCAGTAAGAAACAATTATAGCAGTCACACGAATATAAAATATTGCTAAACGCACCGAACCATACATTAATTTATCCGAACTTTACAATACAATATTTAGACTCTGAAGTTTACGAATCAAAGTCATTAAATGTTTTCAAATTAGGAATGAAAGAAAAGTTTAAAGACCTCCTGAAATACCTTAACACTTTTTTGGGGGCATTTGGGTACTAATCTATGGGAAAGGGCCGGCCGCTTACTTGGTCCTAACCTATGGTTTATTCATTATTTTGAACACTATTCGTCTCTGGGTAAATACATTTATATATAGCGCCGTATAAAACACATTTGTTTCTGAAGTCTTAAATTTAAATAGGTTCATGTGCATTGTTAAAAGTTAGGTTCTGCTTAAGCCGGTTTCAGGCGGTTAGGACGGTTGAGTGCATTTTACACTGCCGAGCTCAATGAACCGGAGTTTGCGGCATTTTCAATTTTGTCATGTTTTGCGATCTTCAAGGTCTCAATTCCATGTATTTTATACATGATTCATTTGTTTCCATAAGATATGACTCTGAAATCTCCCTTTTTGCTCTATGATCTGCCAGATGACGAATGTTAGTTTAATTCAAACAGAAAATGAAATTTCAAATATTGACATATCAGTTGATCTTGGGGCATTTTTATATTGCCTTACATTTTATGCTGCTAGTTCCTTTTTAATTTAACTTAATCTTTTACCTTTTTTTCGATTATTTTCTTAAACAGACTTGTATATCTTTCAATTTGGACTAGACCATACATCATTTCAAAATCTGTACATACTGTCTTTGCAAATAGTGCAGACTTTAATTAAAGCCCGTCTCACACAAAACACGCTTGGACACTCGGTTCTTATACGGTATAGTCGGTTATGCACGGATTGACTGGTACGAGTATTGGACTTTTACCGTGCCTGTGGATTAGTTGGTACAAGTTAGACTCGAATGTAGCACGAGCATGTACGAATTTAGCACGGACATACTCGGTTAAGCAAGGTTTGAACACGACTTGCATATAAATACAAATGAATGTTTTACGGTTCCAAGCACGGTCTTATACGGTCTGGTACGATTAATCACGACTTTTACTCGATTCACTCGACTTTCACAGGGTTAACATAGGATCTCGCCGACTTTTGTTCGAGTTACGCTCAATTTACACACATTTGTGAATATCGCCGACTTTTGTTCGAGTTATGCTCGAATTATCACACATTCGTGTATGTTTTGAAAAAAAATTGACCCATTTTGATGGCTTGGCTTCATAAATTTTCGAATTCTCAACGAAAAATAAAAACAATGGCAGATGCAACGAACAACAGAATAAGGACTCTAGAAATAATGATTACACTAATATTGAGATTATTTTGGCTTTTGGCCAGAAGGCGTGAGGAGAGACAAAATCAAGCCAACATAAGGCATAGAAGAAGGAGGCAAATTTGGACAAGAGAATGGCTCAACAGGACCATGTTTGGTCGATATGAGACTCTGCTACAAGAACTAACCAGAAAGGACCCTATGTGTTACAAAAACTTCCTCTGTGTTGATGCCGACTTGTTTGGGGAGTTGGTGAAAGGCAATGGGCCAAAAATATCTAAGAGGACAACCAATTGGATGTTTACAATAATATCTTTTTTCCAGGGAAAAATAATCGATTGCAAAGTATAAATTGCAGAAATTATTAATACTAATCTCAATGATCGATAGTAGTAATATGTATTAATATATATGTGAGAATTTTGAAAGAAATGTCGCTGATAAATATTAATTCACTATTATATATTTTCAGAGAGCAATTGGAGCCTGAACTCAAGCTTGCAATGACACTCAAATACATAACCAATGATGCTACATTCAGACAGTTGATGTACAGTTTACGTGTGGCAGACAATACAATCTCCAAATTCATACCGACCGTCCTGGAGGCAAAAGTCGACACATTAAAACCGAAGTTAAGACACCACTTACTGAGCCAGATAAATAGAGGGATGACAGGTTCAACACCAAGTAGAATTTCTCCCATGCTTGTGGTGCCCGGGACCAGTCTGGATCACTCTACCACAACTAAAAGCGCTTTTTCTCCATGATTATTCTGGCATTGACAGATGCCGACTACAAGTTCTTATGGGCATCAGTGGTGTATGGTTCAGTATTCGATTGTCAAGTGTTCAACGACTCTGAATTGAAGGAGTTGGTGGAAGTTGGTGAACTAGGCTTCCCTGATCCAGAGCCGCTGCCAGGCCTGAACGAAAACCCGCTCTACTTCTTCCTTAGAGACAATGCATTTCCATTGATGACCTGGATAATGAAGCCACACTCAAGGATGGACCTTGGCCACGATGAACGCATATTTAATTACAGACTGTCCCGTGCCAGAAAAGTGGTGGAGAATACATCGAAATATAGGCCAACATATATGTACAGGTCTCATACTGTCTCACACGGCCTCTTTACGGTCTTAAACGGTTGCTAATACGATCATACACGGACATGACATCCCTGTTAGTTTTTTAAAAGTTTTAAAAATCATACACGGCTTACACGGATACACACGAATGACCCGAGTGTAACTCGGATAACATACGGTTGGTTCAGTGGCCAACCGTGTAAGCCGTGTGTTTTGTGTGAGATGGGCTAAAGCGGCATGAAAATGAAATCATCATAACCACTGGCTGCTAAACATCAAACAGCTTATCAAATAATAAAAGGCCAAAGTTTTATATATTTTATTGTGAAGTACGTAACAAACAAAGTATTGTATAAGAATGATACGTAACATAGAACCTCGTGTTTTTTGTTACAATAACCTTCTTTTTAATTGTTACATTTAATATGATAACTTGTCCACATCAGGAACTTTGTGACACAGTGTCAGTCATGTATGAAGTGGGTTCAACCACCTTTTGTTGTGTCAATTACATCAACCTAATGATTACGTGCTGACTTGAAGTTCCTCGTTTGGGCTTGCCACTCTAAAGAAATATTTACATAATGATGATAAATTTAAGAGTATTAAAATGTGATTATTAACACAAAATTAGAGTAATTTTCATATAACATATACTTTTTTCCGATTAGATAATGCTCCCAATGAACCTATTTGAATGTTTAGTACTGTAGATAAAACCGTGTTGACCGTGTTAACACCAGCTTGTTAATCCTATGCACATTGACACAAAGCATGTACTTTTCGTGCATTTACTTCTTGATATGGAATGACTTTTTAAAATACAAAATATCTCCATACGGATCAAGCTTTAAACATTCTTATAAAAAAGGGATTATTACAGGGAATGAAAATTCTAAATTTGAAATGCCAGACAAACTTTATTTTTTAAGATTTAAAGGGGGACTGTACAGTGACTTTTTACACATTGAAGGGACAAAAAAGATTTTTTTCCAAGACGTGTATACTTTCAAATGTAAGTTTGGCCAATAATCATTTTAATTTCGCAAAATAATCCCCAAAATGCAACGCTTTTAACTACAATCGAGCTAAGAATCGTTAAAAGATCGATTTTCTATTTAATTCCGGGTACAGCTTTTATCCTTTACAGACCTTTCCATTTAAAGGGATTCACTTTTTTATTTGTAAGAATTTTAAATTTATGTATCTGGCCTCTTTGACCTCAGTTTCCTTAAATATAAAAAGGTCGACTTCATTTTAGTTTCACATCCAAGTTCATAGACCACTATGACCATAGAAAATGCCAAATTAATAAGATTTAACTCATACTGATCATTTCTTACAAATCTAAATTTAAATCAGAAAGACATTTCAGAACCATTTGACCATAAATGAATGCCGCATATAAATCATACAAAGTTTACATAACATATTTACATGCATTGACCCCAAAAATATTGAACTGTTAAAAAAATAGTGATGTATTATTTTGGTCATAAATCATATAATGACAAATATATGCCAATAGTGATAATGTAAACATGCCAAAAATAAATCAAATATAATGTTCATCATGATTTAGTACTCAGTAGTACTCAGTAGTTTTCTTCTTCATTAAACACGTGATTAAGATAAATTCAGGTGATAAATATATATATAATGATGAGTTATAGGTAAATTACAGAATAATGTCTGTACATGTCTCATTTTTAATGACTGTGAACTTTCTACTTTTGCAAAGTCAGCACTTTTTCATTCTCAAGAGATGCTTGAATGCGAGAAACAACTATCATTAAAGTATGCTAAGTAACATTTATGTTATCATAAAGTATTAGATATTTTACTAAATTTAAACCTAAATGCATTCGTCACTAAGTATCTTGTTGTTGTCATAGTAACCATTTTCCTTGAGCCTATCTTGAGTTTTTTTGGCAAATCGAATAACCTATGCCTATACATTGCCCACTCTCTACCATGGTAACCAAAAATTAATGAAACAAAAAAATATGAAAACAGCTCCAATCTTCAAAAAAAAAAATATCATTATTACATATATCCTAAAAGTACTCGTTAATGACAAGGCAATGCCCTTGTTATAAATACTATAGTATAAACATATTGTTTTGATTGTTTAATTTCTAAAGTAACACGTTTACACGTGAACAACGGTCAAGCACCTTTAAAGTGACATTATGCTCATTTTTTCACTGTCAAGCTAAAATGTATTAGTTGTATGTCACAAATATTGACTATTTTAATGACGATTGAAGAAGGTTTGGTAAGCATAAAATGTAAAAACCGTCTAAAATGTGAAAAGACGGTCCCATTCGTTTAATAAAATGAACATTACAGAAAGTTTCGGTAGGATATTTATAGATATGTATGTGGGCCGAGGGATTCTATATAGGTTACGCTGGTGATGTTAATTATAAAATTAAAAAAAAAAATGATAAAATGTAAAGTTATTTAAACTTTACCTGAACACTCACCATTACTATTGAATGGTCTCAATGCCACTTTAGCAATCCAGATTCGATATAAGCAGAATCTTTGCTTTTCAGATACATATTTTCTTTTAATATAACTTTTGTACTATTTTATGGCTAGAAATCTGCAAAATGACTGGCGAATGCACATGAATGTGACATTTTTAAATACTTTTTAACCATGCAAAAATTATGTACATACATGCAAATTAAATCAGTCCTTAACAAGTACAAAGGTACGCATTTTATTAGAGTAGTAGTGTGTCATTAGACTAAAAAGTGATGTTAAAGTTACATAAAAAAAATTTAAAATTCAAATTAAAGGCATTACTTTAGACTATGTAATTATCATACAATTTATTATTGCAAGCATCATCAAATACTTATTCGTCAAAAAAACTACCATAAAACTGTTCATCTTTTTCATGATTGAGAAGGTAAAAGACATTTATAATGTGACATTTTTTTTGTTTCCCGAACTGTCCAACCGTGTCTTGAACCCCTATAAAAGTGTCATGAGGACAACGATGTGTCAGATCTTGCCAATCTCAAAGATATATAGGGTAAGTACTACTTTTTACTTTTCTTTTTTTTTTTTTTTTCTTTTTTTTTTTTTTTTTTTTTTTTTTTTTTTTTTTTTTTTAAATTTTGCTTACTATATTATAGAACTTAAAGCTGCATGACTCCAGATGTGCTAAAGAATTTTAAGAAAAATGAAATTTATATTTAAAGAAAAGTAAAAATATTCGTTATTCAAGTAATGATTTACTTGTTATATGCAATAAAAAACTGATTTGGCAGTATTTACTTGTATTATCATATTTCTAACGCTATAAGGGTTATTTTTGCATATTTTGACCTATATTTATTAATGTACGTGGATTAAAAGTGCCGTTTGCAATGTGTAAAGTACTTTTTGGTTAATTGGCAATATTTTACTTTTTATACGTACATTTTCAAAAAGTTCATGATAATTAGCATGAATCTGCTTTAAGTCATACTGACACTCTCGTGTTACGTGACTATCCAACTGTACTAATCTGAAGACATACCTCATGTGCTTCTTCGCATTGTCAACCTGAGTAAATCCATTAAAAGAACTGCACTGATGTCTAAAAGACCAAATACATAAAATTCAAAATTCTTTTATAAGTCAACTGGTGAACAAAAAAAGGAATAGGTTATATGTAAATATACTTTAAGTATACTTTTTAATAGGTTTTTTATGCGTGATGTGGTCGATTTGAGTGAAAAGCGTTGTAACGCTTTTCATTTTGAGGTCAATATGTGTAATACAATTGATTATCCCTCGAAAGCCGAGTGAGAGCAAACGATCTGAAATTTTTCACATAATTTATTGGCTCAGACCAGCATTTAGTTATTAAAAAATATTTAAAAAATATTTCCGGTCCTTTTATGTCAAGTAGCCTCAGTGGAGTCCCTTTAACTCGCTGGAATGAATCCAAGATCAATGACAGGAATTCGGTCCAACAAGTTTCAGGCCTTTTTACATAAGTATTCTACGAACAGTAGAAATAATTAAATACTTTGTCAAAAAGTTACTTTAGAATCTTACATGTACTTGTTTTCAATTTTTCATATACATGTACATGTAACGAGGCTCGTCTCCGTGTATATCTATGCATGAATATAAAACTAAATATTCATTTAAGATACATTGATTTATTATATTTTGCTTCGTAGAAAATTAGTCATTTATTCAACATAGTCATCTGTCTTTCAAAAATTACAGTCATGGCAACGCTTTTATGCTAAGTGCAATGACAGGAACAATTTTGCAAGCGACCCGATATTTAGACAAATTGATGGCATGTGTTTTTATTGATGTTGTTGTTGTTTTCTTTTTATTGTTATTAAGCATTGCATAAGAGGTGTGACGTCATTTATGTCATGAATGTAACAAAATGTGTTTCTTCCAGTAAGCATGAAGACCCTTCTTGTTCTCGCATTCTTAATCGCAGCATGTGCTGCCACCTACTGGAAAACTCCATGCTGGGGTAAACATTGCAGATATGGAGGAGGGTACGGGTATGGAGGAGGGTACGGATATGGAGGAGGGTACGGATATGGAGGAGGGTACGGCGGTGGCTACGGAGGATACCTAGGAGGTTACGGAGGTGGTTACGGAGGTGGCTACGGAGGTGGCTACGGAGGTTATGGCCGTGGATACGGATGGAAATATCCTCCACCATGCTGGGGTAAAAGGTGCGGATATGGTTATGGAGGCGGATATGGATACGGTGGTGGTTACGGCTATGGAGGTGGATATGGCGGTTATGGCGGTGGCTACGGATGGGGATATCCCGGCGGATATGGCGGTTATGGTGGCGGATATGGAGGATATGGATGGGGACGCCCATATGGATACAGATATGGTGGTTATTGTAAGTTATATGAAAAAAAAAAAATTCTGTTTTTATTTCTAAAAATAAAATTTTTTAGAAGTTAACTACGGCAATAAAGTAAATTACAAATTAAGCACGCTTCTTACATAATGTTTATCTTAAAAGAACAACACGCATATAAGCATTTTAAACACATATTACGACTTCCAATAGAGGCTGGCAAGAAAATGATTTTTTGAATCATCGGATATTATTTAAATAGGTTCTTTGAACATGGCAAAGGCCAAAATACCAAAAAAAGATGTAATGACTGAAACAAGAAAAGATAAATTTCACATATCATTCATATAAAGTATACGTTTTAAATATATCGTTCATATATATTATTTTCAGACGGAAAGAAATACTAAGCACTGATAAAGATGTGGCTTTCTTGGATATTTTCGACTGGACCGACCTGACAGATACTCAACTTTTTTTTTTCCTTTTTTTTCTTTTAACAAATGTATGTAATTCTTTAATAAACTTTTCATGCATTCAAAACAAATGTTTTATGTCAATCAACTGTCTTTCGAAAGCATCTTATTTGAAGTTGTTTGTTATTAACCACACTACAGCTCAAATGTTTTATTCGCGATATGAACGTAATTCAGTTAGATTATAACAGCAAGATAAACTGAATTATTTCCCTTCGACGCCACAAAAAATATTGTCCGTTATCACGAGTTGTAAGATAAAAGTAAAGTTGACTTTGGGGCCTCACAAATGTTTGAAATATATTTAACTTCGAAAGAAAGTTTAAGACGTTTGCATGTATAATCTGTAACCGCTTGAAAATGAAAGATTGCTTAAGGAGAGAAATAAAAAATCAACTTTGATTAAAAAAAAAAAGTACCGCCCAGCTAATGCTCTTTAACCAATCTGCATCTATAGTCAGAATAATTAACATTGTATTCTCCAATTCAGTAGGTGTGTCTGCATTCACACATGAATTTAGTGTTCAGCTTTATTTGTCATCCAATGAAAACGCTGCATTTCGTATAGATTCTGTGTGTTAATTTTCGTAGAATGTTGTTACATAGAAATCTAACTTTCTAAACGTCGTATATATTTTAAATTCAATCAGATATGTCGATTTTATTTAGTATTTAATGGTCTGAAAAATAAGGAAAAAAAATGAAATGGATACACTTTTTCTTTAAAAAAAAAACCTTTCCTTGTAAATGAAATGGTTTCGTTACAAATTAAAGTCAACGAAACACGAAAGTGTTGCGTCTGTTCTATTTTTTTTTCTTTTCTAAAACTGGTCCCTTTTTTGAGACAACGAGATTTTAAAGTTTTGAATGTTTTATATTTTTTTAAAATATGCGCAATCCATTATTGCAACAAATTACATTTACATATTAAATTGATAAATTATTTACAGTGAAACCACGGAGATAACTTGTTTCATTTAAAGATGAATGCATTGCATTTTTTTAAACACGTAGTTTATTACATAATTATACGTTGAAAAGACCACACCTCATTAAAATTTAAACTTTTAGAGACAAAAATTGAAAATAATTACGTAAATTAGAAGAGCCGTTACTCGATTTTAGACGCTTGTGAAAAAATTGGATAATATTTGAAGTAAATAATGATGTGCCCATTGTAGACCAATTTTCTTTAACCAAATGACTACGATTCTTTATTTGGGTTGGCAGTAACTTTAGATTCTTTGATGTGAGGAAGCTATCCAGCTAGCTGACGTAACGCCGGTGGTTCAAAGCAGGTGCCCGTTCGTGCCTCTAATGAAGCACGGTCTTCATCCACCAGAAAAACTGGAAAGTCGCCATATGACGTATACTGTGTTGGTACGAAGAAAAACCCAACCAAAAATCCCTTTTTAATCTAGATTTATATATCCTAATGAATACAACAGAAATTAAAACAGACTTTTATTTAACTAAAGTAACACCGCCTTGTTTAGAGTGTACATCACAAATGTAAGTTGATAATCTCAGAAGAGAATTTAACAAATAAATATAGTATCAAAGACAATGAATCAACCACTATTGACCAAAAGGTATACACGCCTACTAAACAGTGGCTTTTTCACATTTTGGTGATCTGTTTAAATGAGAGCCTTCGACACTTCCGTTGAAGAGCCATCGACCAAAACAAAGCTGAAAAATGAAAACACAGTTTCTAAAAATATCCGATTTAAAAGAAAACGCTTGTTTTTCAAAAATCGAAGAATGCTATGCCACGAACAATATTTTTCTCATCAGTTTGGTACAATTTCGATACGAAATATCCCAAAATGATGTTGCTAGAAATTTAACCAATTATCAACTCGTGTGTTTTCTTTCGCGAGGAGACACATCTTCAGTGATTTCTCTACCATAAAGTTAATGTTTACCTACACAATATTGCATGTAACATTGTGCCTACCTCAACTTTGGTTCAACACTAAAAATATTTCAAAGAGATTGGTTAAAAATGAAATATTTACATTTATTTAAATGTGATCAAGCCATCGACAAGGTGCAGGCGCCATCGGCAATGTGAAAGAGCTCTGCATATGTGATGGAACAAATACAAACATATCAGTGTCGTTATTGTGGAATATGGCGAATGATTTTTATAAATAGACAAAATTGCAAGAGTTGATAAAGACTTACATTCATGAAATGTTTTAAGTGTGGCTTTTAGCGCAAAGTAAATGTTGCCAAAGCAACACTATTTAAATATTAATGTCAAAACAATGAACATTAAATCAAGAATGACTCTTCGGCACACTACACCGGCGAAATTCAATAAAAGAATGCACACCCAAGGACCAGGTTTTAAAAAGCAAGTCAAATAATCTTGATCAAAGACACGATCTTTTCGCAAAGTTAACATTCTACACTTAAGATAACATTAAAAAGAACATTATTTTTTTATATTATTTGCTGAATCTTACTATGTGCTAAAATGTATTTTACATTTCACCGGTTTTGGGTATTCTCATTATTAGTATTATACAAAATTAAAAAAGGATCCTCTTTTTTGGCTAAAATTTCATCACAATTCGACTGTGAAAACTGGATAGAATGATCATGCATTTCGGCCATGCATACGGAAAACATGTGTCAGTTGCATAACCGTATCAGTCAGTAAAGCTCGTTCGAAAGATATGATCATTTATGTTGGAAGCAAAACCTTTTTCTCCTTGATGCATATAGTGGTCGCACTGGAATCCGTGCGAAATAGTATCATAACAAAAACCGACTTGCATACATATTTAGTATCATTCAGTGAATAACTGAATCCAAAATTTATAGGTCACCTTTTGGTTGATAATAACATTTAAGGACATGAATGGTGACATGTCCGGGGTCAGTGCCTGAAAAGAGCGGATGGACCCTCATTATGCCTAGAATACATACTTACATAAAAACATATCTTATTCAATTTGGGGATTCTTTAGCCAGTCCATGAATATAAATCGGGATAATTCCACAATATCGACACTAATAATATGTTTGTATTGGCTCTACTACATTTACGAGAGCTCTTTCACAATATGGCAGACATTTACTTTCCGGTAAAAAAATCTCTCAAGATGTGTCTCAACGTAACAGAAAACACACAAGTTCTTATTTGGTAAAAGTTCTAGCAACGTTATTTTGGGGTATTTCGTATCGAAATTGCATGCAAACTGATAAGGAAAATGATCTACGAGGCATAGCATTCTTCGATTTTTGAAAAACAAGCATATTTTTTTTAAAAATGGATATTTTTACAAACTATGTTTACCTGTTTGAGCTTTGTTTTGGTCGATGGTGTAGCGCCGATATATGTCCAAACGTCGAAAAATGTCCAAACGACGATAAATGTCCAAAAATTGACGATAAATGTCTCAATCGCCGATAAATGTCCAAAAATCCTTTAACGATAAATGTCCAAAAATTAACGAAAAATGTCGCAACAAATTAGGTGCTCATAAATGTCCAAATCGGTTAACGATAAATGTCTCAACTTTTCATATGTTAATTGCACTTATTTCTATGATCAACAGTAATGCATCAGCCAGTTATAAAGGTTTCCATAGGGATTAAAAGTACCGATTTAAGTAGCGTTCTCACCAGCATCCCGGCAAAGCCCAGGACCACCCCAGACGATCCGGGATGAAAATATTGTTGCAGTCTCAATAACCCCGGTAGCACTACGGCGATACCCAATTTCCATACTACCGGGATGAACTCCGGGCCATCCATGCAGAGTCCAGTTGAAACTACGGATAATGCAGATAGTAAGTGGACGACGGATGACCTAACACGATATTCAAACGCTGTTAAGTCTTCGACCAAAGAGATCATAAAAGCTGAGATCGATGCTAGCACAGCCCCGGATGATGTCGGCAGAGTCCCGGATGATCCCGGCAGAGGCCCAGTACGGTCAGATAGAGTGCCGACAATCACCGGTAGAGCCCCGACAGAGCCCTTGATCATCCCGGACGTTGCCGACAGAGTTACGGACGTACCCCGGTCGTTCCTGGATCACCCGACCGACCACCGGGACTCTAGCGGGATGCTTGTGAGGTTGTTAAAAAAGTTTAAAAAATGTACAAATGTATTTGAAAATAATTTGATTGTTGGATACAGTCTATCTCCCTTACTATTAAAAGGGGGAAAAATAAGTTAAACCGAGGTGCATTGTACTGGTGCTTTACACCGAGCACTTAAAAGAACCAGGGTTGCCTCTGGAACGGGGCGTCTTCTGTATCATGCACTATCCCCCCGAAAAATAATATACTAACAATCTTCAAGGGACGTTGGTCATATGGGCAACCGGTACCAACGATTAAAAAGTCAAATAAAATAAGTTATTATGCCCCCTTCGAAGAAGTGGGGGTATATTGCTTTGCCCATGTCGGTCGGTCGGTCGGTCGGTCCGTAGACCATGCCATTTCCGCTCAATAACTAGACAATGCTTTGGCTGATGGTCCTCATATTTGGTGTGGAGGTTGGTCATGACTAGTAGATTACCCCTATTGATTTTGGGGTCAGTAGGTCAAAGGTAAATGTCACAGTGACCTCACCATGAAAAGCTTGTTTTTAGAAGATATTTTGTGTGTAACATTGTCTCATTGACAACTACAGGGTTTACACAATTCATGGACCCATGGGTCATATTGGTTCTGCCCCATGGTAATGATATACATGTATTCCATAACAAATTGACTATGCATTTTTATACACATTTAAAAATATAATGTTATAATATTAAATTGGCTGTGTTTAGGGTGGCATACATGTTTTACAAACATATCTTGTTAACATCTGCATTGCGCTACTCTACACTTATAGCTATATTCAGTGTCGTCACTCGAACTCAACCTCCACTCAAACTCGGGAAAGGCTTCCTTAAGGACGAATTGAGGACGCCTTGGTCAAGGTGAACTCAAGTGTAGAATTGGTATTCATATTTGAAAGTCTTCCTCGACTTACCCGAGAAAGGTTTGAATAGCAAATCACCCTTAAAATCACTATTATAGGTGATCTGTTCAATAAAA